CTTATACATCTTCTTTTGGGAGAGTTTCTTCTTCCCTGGCAAATCTTTTCCTGGACCTAGAATAGTTCCTTCTGTGAAGTGCTCAGAGCTCTTGATTGTTTTCACTGGTCCCCTGTCTTCTCTCTGTTTCCGTCAGTTCCTCCTTCTCTGTCTTTCCTCTCTTTCTACGCCTCTGCCTTTCTTTCAATCCACCTGGTCTCTCTTTCCCCAACTCCCCGTCTCTCTCCCTTTATGCCCACCCCTTTTCTTATTTCTTCAAGCATCCCTTCTATTCTTGAGCGCCCAGTTCATCAACTGTAGCTATTCCCTTGGTTTTCATCTTCCTGGAGGCAGGCTGTGTCCTCCCACGAGCATCTGCAGCAGCTCTTTATGCACTGGAAAACTGAGTTGGTTTCTCGGAGGTTTGGAAGTGACTTCCAGGATGCTCAGTGATTGGGGTGTTTGAGTCAGCAGCAAGTTTCCCCCGCTGTATTACTTACCTGTTGCTGTGACTCTCAGGCGACAAACCCATTTGAATTCATTGTCATCTTAGAACGTGTGTTGGTTGTACCAGTTTAAGGGCTCATAGCAAAAATTCCAGAAAAATGAAACTTCTAATGACATTTGTAATTTCCTTTGCTATAAGGCAAGAGCCAGGCACAGCTTGCTCCATCCTCTGCTTCCGAGACTCTCAGTGGCTCAGCCAGGCCTCCAGTCCTTTCAGGGCTCAGCGAAGCATGCTGTGCCCAATCTCTCTTATGTGGTTGCTGGAGGGACTCAGCTTTCCAGGTTCTTGACTTTAGACTGCTATCAGCTCCTTGCCACACGATACCTTCCTCTGTAAAACTATAACATGCAGCTTTCTTCCTCACAGAGAGCAAGCAAGAAGTGCTAGCAAGATGGACATTATGAACCTCTTTAACCCAAGCTTGGAAGTGACACATGGCTACTTTTGCCACATTTTACTGTTAAAGTTAAGCTGCCTGGCCCAGGCTATCCTCAATAGGAGCCTTTGTGCTGTTACGAATGCCAGTAGGGCAGGGCTCACAGCCATCCTCCCTGCTGCGGTCATTTGTTCAGTAAGTGACAATACTTTAAGAATTTCCCAGAGTAGCAATTTCCTTTGTGCTGATGAAAGTAGGATCGGGAGCCACACGTTTCTGCCCACCTGTGCAGTCCCCTGCCGGACGTTATCACGGGTACCACTTTTTTGATTTTCAAGAATGCCTTGTGGTATATTTGCAGCAGGAGGCAATTTTCCCTCAGTATTTGTCTTTTAGTCTTAGTAACATGATTGTTATTGCCACCTGAAGATTGCATTTCCAAATTGCTCTTGTGACAGGGAGTGACCATATGTAAAAGTTCTGACCAATTCAGTCCAGACTTCAGGGCCACAAAGCAACTTCCAATAACTCTCCCTAATGGGATGCTGGGATGCTGGGATGCTGGGATGTTGGGATGCTGGGAGGTGGCTTTCCCTCCTCTTTCTACCTCCTTCATTCTCCTATTTGGAATATAAATCCTAGACCATGGTGTTGAAACCATGAAGTTAAGTAACAAGAAGGAACCATGTTTACATGCTATGTGAGCCCAGCATCATTTGCCTCTTGTCTTTCTGGGGTTTAAGTGAGCACTGTTAGGTATCCAGAGGGCTTGGAGGGCACCACAGATGGGTCTCTTCATAGTCAGCAGCTTACAAAAGTAAAACTGAAACTGTAGGGCTGTGATTACTGTCAGTGATAGGGCTAGAGAGGTGCCTGGCTCAGCCACTAGGAGCATGTGGAGTTCTTGAGGTCACTTAGTGTCCGCATGGGCAGCTTTCACAACCACCTCGAACACTAGTTTCAAGGGATCTGATATTGTTTTTGGGTGTCCAAGGTCACTCAGGTGCATGTCTCCCCATATACACATAATTAAAAATAAGCAGTTTTTTAAAAGAATGGAATATGAGTGTTTTTTCTCTGTCCTTGGATAAAGACATGGCATTCTGAATTCTCCAAAGGGTCTCTGGTAGATAAACACCCAAAGCTCTGTTTGATTACTGTTTAGCAGAAAGCTTTTGGTACGGAACAAGTCACACCACTCTTCCTGTCCTTTACAGAATTAATCCAAATAGACTTGTGGATCACTTGGAAAACCAGTCTGTCCTAGAGGCTTCTGATATTATATTAAAGCCCACTCAAAATATGAGCTGGGACAAAGGTCTCTCTGGCTGTTGCTCACTCCCATCCCTTGTGAATAGTTCACTTTATTCTGTAATAAATTCTTCCTAAATTCACGCATACTTAGGGCATCTCACTGAATTGTATTGATGGTGACCATGGATGAGGCTGGATCATTAATGAGAAGTCAGAGCAAGCTCCCCATGCCATTGTTAGTTGAACTAACTTTCATGGCCAACCATGCCTGGCCTGACTAGTCCAGAATTTAGTGCCTACAAGTGGGGTTCTATACGTAAAAGAAACCAAAATATGTGTTCTCATCTTAACACAGGGTTGGCAAGCTTGTAGGCCAGATAGTGTAGGGAACAGGAAATAGAAACTGGTCAAGCAGTTTAGAGCAGGACCCCCAAGAGACATGGTTCCATTCTTGTCCTTGGCTAGAAGCTGAAAATATCCTTGGTTCGACCCTGGAAGAAGAGGAGGAAAGAAACATTCCTCACTAAGTCTTTTATAAATAGGAACCATTTTTAACTCAGGGATCAACAAACAGGATTTGTTCTCAGGGGACAGTTTACTGATGAATTTTTCCTTTTCGCTTAGGATTAGCAGATAACCCGGGCTAATGTTGACTTCAGCACACACTAACCTGAAGGCTCTTTCTCTCTCTCTTTAGTTTCTGGGTATTTCTTTCACTTTCTTGGTTGACTGGAAAATGACATACGCTCCTGGAGGACGTACTCTGCGGAACTGACATAAACATGGAGGCTGAGAACTAACCAAGTGTACATGTGATTCTGTACCATTTGCATTCAGATGCTTACTGAGAAAAAGAAAACTTTCATTTTCCGGGAAGAAAAACATTAGCAACCCATGCTGCTGATAATTATTAAAACTTTATTATGGAACTAAAAAATTCAATTAAAATCATATCACCATTCTGAAATTCCACGAAATTGCATCATTTCTCATTTTCTTTGATTTCTGATTCCAAGGTGATCAGTATATTTGTATTTTCCAAAGCAATGATCATTTTTCCAACAAGAGAATGATATAATTTTACTATACTAGTTAGATCATTTAGCTCTATAAAACATTGTACTCAAAGTACAAAAATAAGTGCTTTATGCACACTCTTTAATACTGTTTTTTTTTAAATTTACCTTTCTTTTGGTACTCTAGATAAATCCATATAAATAACAATAAAATGAAAAGAAGCAGGGGATTGGTAACACCTGAAAAATGGAGGTACAGTTTGCTTTTAGCTTCTTTTCACTAAAAGATAAGAGAAAATAATATCTGACTATATTGCAGCCATGAAAATCCATTTTAAAAAGAGATTTCTACAAGGGAATGCAATAACAATACCAGTGATTAAATATTTAAACCAAGATAATGATGATTGATTTAAATAAATATATTTGCAGTCTGAGCTCCCAAATATCTTCTAGGAATTAAAATAACAAGTTTCAAAATAAAATTGTGTATTTGCGAAAGGTACAAAGACTGCGTTGCAAATCATTGAATGCAAAACATGAAGATGTGGCTTGTTAAATAGAGTTTTGAATTTTAGAAACACAAATAACTTAGAAAACAAAAATACTTAATGGCCAAAATGCTTTCAAGTAATGAAGCCTGGTGCTGATTGATGGGCACCGTCGGTCACTTTGTACATCCCTCACAGCCGTACTTAAAAGTTTTCCAGGAGCTAAACCTTTGTTGCCTAGTTTTGTGTAGTTTTTGATACTTTTCTGGGGAGAAATACTTGAAAACTCATTTGACTTAAAAAAAAAAAAGCATTCATTGCTCAGGTTGGGTGAGATTGCTGGAAGCGTAAGGGTTCAGGGTAGAACTGGCTTATTTTGGGGATTCTGATCAAGTGGCAAAAGCTACTAACTTATCCAGTCATGTTCAATTTTGAAAACTGCACAATGGGCCCCCGGTTGTGTGCCCACTGCAGAGAGGAGCAGAAACTTGCGTGCTTGCATTCATTGTTTCTGGAGGAGGGGTGGGTGCGTAGTAAACACAGAGCACAGTAAATAGAGACCACATCTGTCACGAATGAACAGGTGAGTCAGTCAGCACAGCTTGTAAAATTCTCAGCACTGGTAAAGGCAATAGACAGAGGGCAAGAGTTTCCCGAACATAGCCAGTTGATGTTATTTTCCATTACAAAGTGACGAAGCCTTGTATAGGAGAAGGGGAAGAGTTTGGACAAGGACGCTGAAAACCAACAGGATGAATGAGGTTAGAAGCAAAGGAAATTGTGTTCGGGAATGTTCCTGAAGCAGAGGGGAAAAGGAAGATGAAAACATTTCCACAAGAAACTCTCTAGTTTGAGGTATAACTAACTTAATCAAGGAAAAGAAGGAGTCCACAAAAGCTCTGAGAATCTTCTGGCACCCTGTGAATCTTGGTAGGGTAAGAAAACATTCCCAAGAGTCATTATTTATCTTGTCCCCCTGTCCAGTCTGGCCTAGATGGTGCCGGTTCTGCCAAATGAAGGAGGGACTCAGGTCCACAGTCTGGCGAGAGGAAGAGAAAATGGGGCTCAGAAACAAGCAGGTGAGAGGGACCCCTAGAGGGAGGGTGGCTCTCAGACAACTGGTCAGAGAGGTGATGCATTCATTCCTTTAGATCATTGTGGTCCTGCATCAGTTAGCCCCTGAGCCAGTTAATCCAAGCTGTACCTGCCCTCTGACCAGCAGGATGTCTGAAAATTAATTCAAACGGAAAATTATAGATAAAGCATTTTGCTGTTCTATGTGACTGAAAGAATTTTTAAAAACCTTTAAAATGAAACAAAAACTAATCTTATATAGCATTGTATGATCCTCCTTTTTAGATATTTTTCGACGGTACTGTTTTCTTATATGAGGTAGTTTGCCAGCCGCATTTTGAGAAGTCCATTTGGCAGGATCTTGTGTTGACTGCTGGACACACCTTAAGTCCCCTAGGGCAGTTTCTGTCCACTGCAGTAGCTGTTGCTCCTCTTGATTTACTGAGGATGTGGGATGGAAAAACAGCCATCCGAGAACGGACAGCAGTTGACAGGGGACAAAGAGAGGCTCCATTTCACCCGGTTCCATTTCCTCTATTCCAAGTAACATCCAGCAGATTTTATCAACACACTACTACTTGCCAGACTGTAAGAAACCAAACGCTAATTTGTTAGATTTTCCAATGGTGATTCAGTTCGGGGTCTTTTGTCTGTTTCGTTTGGTTGCCCTGCTGATTTGAAGGTTTTTTTTTTTTTTTAATGAAGAACTAAGAAGTATGCAGAGAAGAACCAGAAAAATGGATTAGAAGTCAGAAAGGCAGGCAGTGTTACTGCTTATTCACTAATCTAAAATATGAATGATATGCAAAACTAGCCTTTGGTTTGATACTTGATCTTTTCAAAGCTCATCTTTGGGGCAGATGTGGTGGGGCAAGCCTGTGGTGCCAGCCAAAGACAGGAGACTGAAGAGGTTGAGGCTAGCGTGAGCTGCATAAATAGAGTCTGTCCTAAAGATGTTTAAAAAGAAAGAAAGAAAAGGAAAACAAAGACCATAGCATAAAACAACTCAAGTCCAACAACAACACCTCCACCCAAAATGACAATCCATTTTTTCTCTTGATCCAAGGTCATTACACCCAAACTTGGCCTATCAGGGTAGCAACACATGGACACTATAAATGTATTCTAATGAAATCCAAAAATCTTCTCTATATGTTACTATAACAAAGTAATAGCCACCCACCCCCCAAATCATTCCGTCTGTCCACTCCGTACTACACAGACCAGCCCCAGGGAGGCAGAGGTCAGGCCTGCACGCCACGACACTCTCACTTAATTGGCACGCGCCCTATCAGGTATTTTGGATGTGCCACCAAATTCAGATGTTCCTATGCTCAGTGACACAACGATCCGAGGAAGAAAGTATGAACCAGAAAATCCAGAGCCTTCCAGAGTTTCAGCGGGAGGGGCTTGGCTTTAGATGCCCAGTTGGAACTCCTAGAACCAGAAGGTGCTCAGACATTCAACCATGATTGACATTTCCCTGGCTCTGATTGGAATCTGTCCTGATTTTAGATTCCAGAGTTCCATTAAGGAGTTGACAATATTTTCTGCACCTTTGTGTTTGTTTGCCCTTGAGTTCCACAGACTTTCATATGGGTCATTCTTTTTTTTAAAATGGGAGTTCTAATGCTATGTCCCCTAAATCGCTAATAAAAATGGGAGTAAAGTGTTTTGATTCAGTACTGGATTTTGACGTTCTGTTTTGAACATACATGCTCTGTATCAAAGCATCACGGCCTTTTAACCTTCATCTCTGGCCCTATCACCCCCATCCCATCACTATCGGATGTTCTGAATATTCAGGAACATTTTGGCAAGTAGCACTTTTACTAAACTCTGAAGGGATGGTCTCTTAACAACCATTGTTAGTATCCTGGTGCCCCTTGGGAACCTGGCACAGTCACCCCTCAGCATATGGCAGCCAGTTCCCTGACTATATGCAGGTGCAAAGGTCCCTTTAAGAGACAAGCTCCACCCACTCCCAAGCTCAAGCAGGTGCCTACATGCTCTCTCTCCTCTCTTCCCCAGCTGTTCTGCACATATTGAAAGAAGATCAAAAGAATAAAAGGGCAATGTTTCTTGGTGGATTTAATATGAACTAGGTAGAGAATTTGAAGTTAACCTCAAGTTAATATAACTGTTTGGAGCTGGGTGTGGTGTTGTGCATCAACTATCTCAGCACGGGGATGCGAGAGGATCACAAATTTGAGGTCAGCCTAGCCTTAGAGTGAGAGAAGCAAAGCAAGTTCCCTTTTGTCTTTGAAAAGACTTTTTTGGCCAGTTTCTGATTATGAAAATATCATAGTGTATTATGTATATCTGATTTACTTTACCAGTGTTTGAGTTTAGCAAAATGAGTCTGGGATAACAGAAAATAGTATGGACATGTAAAGATTTCCAGATGAGAAAAAGTCGTTTTTCACTGTAGTGCTTGGTGTTGGGATAGCTTCTATGGTTCGAACAGCCTTGGGCAGGGATTTTCAAGCAAAAGAGTGGTTTACGGTGTTGAATAAATACAGGGCTTAGATTGTCTCAAGCATATTTGAAACACATCATATTGATTTCTAGGAAGTCCCGGAGGCTGAAGGTATAGGAAGATGCTGATCTTTGACATATTGAGGGGAGACAATTTCCAGACCAAAAGTGATAATGAGATCTATGACATTTCAGACAGTTTTAATGAGCTTAGGCCTGGGCTTACCCTACATTGTTGGCGACGGTGAATACCTCTTACAAAGCCTCCTGCTTTCCTATGGCCTCTTGATTTTGTGAGTGCCGAAGCAGCTCTGAGCCAGTGACCGAGACAGAAGTTTTCCTGTCTATGCCTTGTTGCTGACTGCCTAGCTCATCCTGGGCCCCAGTTCCTGGTACTAAGTGAGCTTACACTAATTTGTTAGGGTTTTAACACCTTCCTGAGACACTAGGGATCTTTGGAAGAATAACTTTTGCTGTTAGTGGCTCTTCATATTTCCTTGAAGCAAAAGGCTCCTTAGATTTGATTTTGTTGAAGAATAAGATTCACATTTCATGAGTAATACAGTAAGTCCTGGCGTCTCAGGAGAGGCATTGCTTTGGGAAAGGTATGACTTATGACCACAAGGGATCTGGTTTGAGGTTCATATTGTCTACTGAGCATTCTGGGAGTCTTATTCTTAGAGGAAAGGAATCTTCAGAAGGCTCCATACGCATCTCCTCGGGTAGTCACTGCAAACGTAGGGTAGACCTCATAGGCTGTATATGCCGCTAAGTCTTGTCCAAGGGTCACTGCTTGCTTGAGTTGAGCTGCAGACACAGGGGCGGTGGCACCGGGGACAGCATATCCTGGAGGAGGAGGCAGAGAGAATTTATGAAAGGAATTCAGATTTTCTCCCTTTCTGGCACGTTGTGTCTTTCGGCAATGTGGAAAATTAGCATTTTCTTAAAACAAAGGATATGTATGATGAAATGTACTCTGAGAGGATGCAGTTGTGAAGAATAGCAACGGCGGGGTTGTTTGTTTGGTTTGGTTTGGTTTTGCTTTTATAGGTTTTTGACACAGGGTCTATTTTAAAGCCCTTTTTAGCTATCCTGGAACTCACACATTAACCAGGCTGGTCTGAAACTCATAGAGATCCACATGCCTCTGCCTCTTGAGTGCTGGGATTAAAGACAAACACCACCTAGCTGGAATACAATTGGAAGATTGAAAATGGTGTTCTCCAGGGAGAATCAACTTCCCTATGTCAGGTTTACTTCACCTCAGCAAATAGAGACATCAGAGAGGGTCCAGCGAACAGAAAGGTACCCTATGTTGCTGACTAGCAATACGGAACTTTCCCAGGAATGTATATACAAGAATGTATATGTGAAGCAGGATGTTGAGAAGTTTACAGGCCATATTAATGGTAGATTCCTTGGGTCTGGTTCTGCTGAACCCTATACTGGCCTAAAAACTCACACTTAAAATATTAAAAAATGTCAGGGCATGGTGGTTCATGCCTTTAATCCCAACATGCCCGGGAAGTGGGGACAAATGCAGGAGGATCTCTGTGAGTTTGAGACAGCCTGGTCTACATAGAGAGTTCCTGGACAGCCAGGGCTACAGAGAGAGACCCTGTTTCAAAATAAATTAATAAAATAAATAAATAAATAAAAAATAAAAACTTCCTTCATACAATATGAATAAATAGAGACCAGGTATTCTAGTAGAGGAGATACTGTATTAATTTTACAGTGGCTTAATTATCACCACAACATAAGTAATTTGTTAAAAAAGATTTTTTTTTGGTTAAAAACTGTGATCTGGCTTATTTTTATCTATTACAAATGCATAAAAGATCCCTTATCACAAGAACGCTGAGAATTACACTTTTGGTTTGCTTTAGAAAAGTAACACAAACCACACTATAAAAAGTCTTTGCAATTGGCACAAGCCATTGTTGTAATGTTGCAAGAGCAGTTTGAAAAGTTCAGTAACTAACGGGGTTAGCCTTCTGTGGATGCGTGGAGAACTGGAAAAGCTATCTCACTTTACCAACAGAGAGACTTCTCTTCCTTCTGTTTTTGGATGAAAGCTAAGCCTGCTTTCCCTGGCACTCTGAACTTTTTCCCCATTTCCCTTCTGGAAGCTGCCGAGATTTACAGCCTGCTTGCCTGTTATCTGTCTGTCTGTCTGTCTGTCTGTTTATCTACCTATCTGTCTATCTATCATCTGTCTGTCTGTCTGTCCACCTATTTGCCTGTCTATCTATCTATCTATCTATCTATCTATCTATCTATCTATCTATCTATCTATCATCTATCTATCTATCTATCTATCTATCTATCTATCTATCTATTATCTATCTATCTATCTATCTATCTATCTATCTATCTATCTATCTATTTATCTAATCTTAACCTCTAATGTAACTGTCCTCAAGCTTTCATTTGACTTCATTTCTAAATTCTTATATTAAACAGACAAAGAACCCTTAAAGGGAACCTCAACTTCTCTTGTAACACTGTCTCAAGAGATGAGGTAGTGGAGCTGGAGAGAAGGCTCTGTGGCTGACCACATACTGTTCTCACAGTGGTCGGACTTAGATTTGCAGCACTCATGCTGGGTGCCCAACCACTTGCAACTCCAGCTTCAGTGGATCTAACACTTCTGGCCTCTTCAGAAGCCTGCACACATATGTACACACACACACACACACACACACACACACACACACACACACATAAATCTTAAAAGAACAAAAGAGTTGGAATGTGACAGAGGAAAGCAACTGACCCTGACCTCTGGCCTCCACTCAAGCACTTGCAAACAAACATATATTTATATTACATGTACATGCACACATTCGCATGCACATACAGGCATATAGACACAAATAAAACATAGAAGTAGGAACACACCCCAAACAACAACTCAAGGTTAACCAATAGTGGCCAAGTTGTTTAACCTCCCCAGTTTTGGGCTTCTATACCTGTAATATGAAGGGATACATTCTCATAGGGCTGCAAAGTACCACAGGGGTCCCTGGGGAAATGTAAAGCTTGCTGAGCGCTTCAGTGAGTACCCAGCTCTTAGCAAGCACTTAGTTAAATATTCTCTAATAATAATACCAAAGTCTCTTAATAGGAGGAAAAAAACCCAACAATCTGCACCACACTTGGGGTGTTGACTCATTTAAGGTCATACAGCTGCTTAACACAGAGGCAGAAGGGAGCCGGTTTAGGCTAATCTGATTCACTTCCCCATATCTTTCCCATTGTCCCAAGGTGCAAGTCAGAACTATTGAAGTTGAGGCTCCTACAAAGAAGGGGTCCCCAGACACTCTGCAGCCTGAATTTCTGGCACAAATGATCCCCCCTCCCTAGTACCTGGGAACACAGTGGCGGATGTGGCTGTGGCTGCTGTAGTCGCAGCGTCCCCTCCTTCTGTGGGGATGCCTAAGGTCTGTAGCGTGTGCTCTGCAGCATATGTCTTTGCTTCATCCACGAACGCACTTAGCTTCGGAGGTGTGAACGGGTGGCTGGAAAATACAGAGGGTCACATGAATTATTCAGAAACTTAGGCACCCAGTCAGGTGACAAACCAAAGGCAGTTTTAGCTTTTAAAGAGGAGTCATGGTGGGATTCTATAAGGTTTTCCCCTTCTGTTTGCTGCACAAATAAGAATTCTACACATGCACATACACGGGAATATTTGTGAATTGATCTAGCACCTTGGTAGCCTATGGCATCTCTGGGGAACAAGCGAAAGTTTTACTATATGACGCTTCTAAGGTATGCGTCATTCCTAAAATATATAAATGCAGTCTGGAGGTAAAATCCAGAAGGTGATATCCACTAACAGATCCGATCTTTGATATAAAATTAAAAGGTGAGTCAGAAGGTTACACAGTAAATGGCAACTTCATGAGGGTCACTTGTATGGACCTGAACATTTCAGAAGGAACCTGTTATATATAGTCCTTTATACCCTCTGACCTCTAACCAGCCCCGGTTCCCTTAGTCAGCTATCCTAGAGTCCTTGTGCTGTATGAAACTTCGGGGCTTTTAGAAGCCATCTAACAGCTAGGGCATACATCCCGGCTGAGCATCTTGCTGCCTTATTTAATTACGAAGGAGTAGGGTAGCAGACTTGAGTATACCACTTAAGCGATGATCGAATACAATAACACACAGGCTAATCTCATTCAAGAATCTCTATGGCTTGGAGCTGAGAGAGAGTACGCACATTGCAGGATTCTGGCTGGCCAGTGCTGGGATAGTTACTTTGTATAGGAATAATTGTCTTTGGTCTTGTCCAATGGCAGAATGCAGTTGGTACACTGGCTGTCCCCAGTTATTTTTCTGACAGATTTCTTCTAGTATCTACAAGAGTAGAAAAAGAAATGATTTCTCTCGCAAATGTCACATTTGCATTACTTCTCTGGCTTTTGGGTTCCAAGTTCTGACCTTCAGCTTTAACTCATAGAAAAGAGAAAATGTCATGTAGTTTAACAACTCATAAAATTTAAGTGGAACTCGACCAGAACTCCATTTAAGCTGTAAATGTCTATTATAGTTCATAAAATCATTTTTACACCATTTACTTTGATAGTTTTAGTTTAATCCATTACACACATCACACATGCACACACTCACTATGAGCTTAATAATTCTTCATATTTTTTGTTTTATTTTTATTAATTTTGTTTATTCCCGGTTTAAGAAAGTTGGTGCTATACACTGTGAGGGCAGATCTGCATATTCCTGCCCCCGCAGCCCTTGATCAGAGTGGCTGAGGGAACCTAGCCAGAGAAGGTATCTTGGCTATGTGCCATCTGCCATAGGGTTTCTAACTTCACAATTTTGAAAAAATCATTTTGATTTTGAAAAGTTTCAAAAATTTCATTTTCTCGTCTTGTTTCATGGATTTGGACTTTGTGTATGTGAGTGTTTTGCCTGCGTGTGTGTGTGCAGCACATGCATGGTGACTTCAGGGGTCAGCACATCTGGAACTGGAGCTACAGACAGCTGTGAGCCACTAGATGGGTGTCAGGAAACCTGACCTGTGTCTTCTGCAAAAGCAGCAAGTGTTCTTAACCACTGAACCATCTTTCCAGCCCTTGGGTCAGGATTTAGTATTTATTAATAAACATTAATTGGTATTTACGGTGGTGATTTTTAAAAACTTACTTGGCCATGTGCCTCTTTTAGCTGTTTATGACAGTCTTTTCTTTTGCGTTGATGTTTCACCTACATATATGTCTGTGTGAGGATGTTAAACCTTGGAGTTATAGACAGTTGTGAGCTGCCACGTGGGTGCTAGGAATTGAACCTCAGGAAGAGCAGTCAGTGCTCTTAAACGCTGAGCCATCTCTCCAGCCTCGGAAAATCTGGTTTTGCTATCTATCTGCATGTTTATTTTTTTTACCGCTTTAGGCACCCCAAACGGAATCTTTTCTCAAAACATTCATGGTTTCTTTAACGCTGATGTTGGTGCTGCTGAGGTCCTGATCCGCCCTTCACAAACTGATTCAGGATCTGTGTGGAACAGGGCTCAAGGCCGAGACAAGAGCGGTGCATCAGTGCCTCCCAGCTCTCTGGACAGAGCGTCTTAGCTCATTGTTCCCACATAAACCCAGCTGCTGTCTCTCACGACGTTTTCCAGTTTATTAATTTTAAGATTGCGCTTATTTTTTTCCTTATTAAAACGCCCTTGGTGGCACCTTCTGTTTTTCATAGCGCATACTCTGAGGTTCCCGAGCAATATCAGTTAGCTTTTGCTAGTGGATCAGCAAATGGTAAATGGTCTGCCCATTTACGCCAGTTGAGCAAACACGCTGAGGGGCGTGGCCTCTGCAGCTGCTGGCTGGGCAGGGCAGTTTGGAACCCTGTCTACTGGTTGGAGATTTCTACCTCTGCCGTGGGAGTTGGTCTCCAGCCACAGTGGCTGGGGTGGCATGGTTTCGATTTTTTCTACTATGGTTGTAAAAATTCAGAGACAGATTGGATACCTTTCACTATGGCCGACTTCTTCCCGTGTTTAAAGGATAAGCAGAGAGTTTTGCTCAGGATGACGTTTTCACCGATACCTGGTTACATTGTAATTATTTGTTGATATGTCAGTGTTTTCTTGCTGGGTTGCCATATGATTTATGAGTGCAAGGATTTCGTTAGATTCGTTTTTGCATCTCTAATGTCTCGCACACATGGCACACTAGAGAAGCCCAATAAATGTTATTTTTTTTTTGAAACAAATGGTTCTTGTTGACCACTGCATTAGGCATTCTTCTTCTTCTTTTAAAGCCTGAGTAGAGTTTGAAGAAGCGTTTCTTAAAGGTATAAGAAAGAAAAACAAAGCTATGCTTCTGCCTTCCTCCTGAGGGCAGGGAAGCTTCCCTCAAAGGCGACAGACTGTAACACCAGTCATTCAGCCACTTGGCTTCCGAGGGAGCAACAGGAGGTTCCCACGCATGGGATAACCTGGGCTTAACAGGGACTGAGTCTGTTCGGTCCTCATTTTCAAAATGGTCTTTCGTTTTCCTATTGGAACGACCTTTATAACTTTCAGCTCCCACTAATAACAAAAACTCACAGCTACACAGAAACATGGACAGGCAGACTATTAAATGAAATTAGCAGCAGTTACCATCATGACACTGACCGATTAAAAGCTTTCTAGAAGACTTTATATAACTGATGGCATTTTATAGTTAAAGATTTATCTAGATTCCATGCTGGAATGTTCTCTCTCTCTCTCTCTCTCTTTCTCTTTAATTTTTGGAGATTGTAATATAATGACAACATTTCTCCCTTCCCTTTTCTCCCTCCAAAGCCTTCTGCATGCCCTCCCCTACTCTCCTTCAAATTCATGGCCTCCTTTTTCATTAATTATTATTGCATATGTATATGTATATGTATATATATATATATATACATATATATATATATATGTATATATATATACTCCAAAACAATCTGTTTTTTCTGTATAATGTTACTTGTATGGATGTTTTTAGGGCTGACTGCTTGACACCAGACAACCAATTGGCGTTTTCCTCCCTGGGAAAGGCCACCTTTCCTGCTCCCAGCTTTACTCAGTTGCCTATAGTTCTTCATCGGGGTTAAGGTCCAGGGGGCTTTCCCCATCCACGTTGTCATGTCCAATATTGTTGTTCTTTTAATACCAGGCTTCCAAGAAAAGTCCTAAACAGTCGACAAAATGCTTCTAGCTATGACTCCTCTTCTCTTCCATTCTTGACCAACCTGCTTCAGGAAGCATTTATTCTGAGCAAAAGTCTTAACTTCATGTTATTTTTACTTAAGATTTTGGTTGACTTTCTTTCTTTCTTTCTTTCTTTCTTTCTTTCTTCCTTCCTTCCTTCCTTCCTTCCTTCCTTCCTTCCTTCCTTCCTTTCTTTTTTGCATTTTTGCTGGATTGTGATTAAATGAAATGAAGGGCCTTTTAGTGTCAGAATGGCAGCCAGTCTCAGCAGCTCTCCTACATATGTTAAGCTGATTGCCACAGCACAGTAGCCCAAGTAAGCATCAATGTCAACCATTTGAACAATGAGTCCGGGGCCAACTTAACCACCTCTAGAGTGATACTACCTACCTGAGGAGCAAGTTTAATTCCTTGTGGTTTTAGAGAGACGGGATTCATCGGGGTGAGTTCCATCCCAGGCAGAAGGTCATAGAGCTTGGCGTCTCGCTTGTCTGCTTTGACCTGGTATCCACGACCCAGGCCTGTGTATGCCAAATACCCACGGCCGCCCAGTCCTCTCACTCCCGCAGCCCCTACAGGGACATTCATGTAAATTTCTAGGAATGTAAGAAGGCATTAAACCGAATCAAACCACCAGAAAATCACCCTGAATCTTACTGTAATGGAAAAGTTAGCCCAAGTCACATTGATTACTACCCCGAGGACGGGCAGATAACCGCAGACTCTGGTGAAATGAAACTCAACCTCAGGTCAGGGCCGACATCAGGGAAGGAGAAAGCTCCTTAGGGAGACATCAGTTCCTTCCAGGAGATCGATAAGAACACAAGTCATTTAAAATTTTTCCAGAGAGAACAGTACTTTAAGTACCTTTATGCTAATATTTTTTGGATCACTAAGGTTTAGCATAAAGTTATTAAAACGTCCCAATATAATAGGACCACTTGAATTACAGTTAGACTGGCGTAGGGACCATCACAGTGACTGCCACACTGCCAGGAAGCCAGAATGAATATCATTAGCACATCCCCAATGAGTCATCAGAAAAACATTTAGAAAGCATGTTTTTTCTTTTCTAAGTTCACCACTCTCTACCATGCGTTGCCAATGTGGGGCTTAGATTTCTGTTGAGTTTCATACCCAGACTCCTTTTGATTCTTGTTTTGCCACATTGCTACATTGATTTCCTATTGTTGACACAAAGGAATGAACCATTAGGTTGATTACTCTTCGCCCATAAATATTATTCATTGATTACTTTTTTTTGTTAATGCTATGTATTATTTTTCCCTTGGGATGAAGTTTGCTTTCTTCTACATCACAACTGGTTGATAACATGTAAGATATATGGATTAATTAATTAATGATATATTTTTCATATGCATAAGGTTTCAATGGCATAATTTGTTTGACATATTCCAATGACATATGTAGAAAGTATTTTGAATAAAACCTTGGTTATTACTTTTACATTGCAATTTTGGTAGGGGTGATTGTATTGTGAGCGTAGAACTTTTAAGTCCTTTGAAGAGGTCTTAAAATGCTCAATTCGTTTCTCCCTGAAAAAGAATACAACGCAACCAAGTAATAGTTTCCGCAGAAATCTGAACAGGGCTCTTCCAAAGGTGGATTTAAATACATCATTTGTTCCTATTTTCAAGATTGCTGCCATATAGGGAAAATAGGATTGGCATTCAGATAATGTTGGCCATACCCAAGAAAACTACAGTGACAGACAGCACAAGGCAGAAAAAACTAACTTTATATAGATATTGAATTTCCTGAGCTCAGAAACCTGCCCAAACAGAGGGTCTGTGCAAGATTAAAACATGAAATATTTCTGGTCTGGTAGTGAGATTGAGTTTGTTTTCTATTTTGAATTTATTTGGTTTCCTATATACTAAAGAAACATTAATTTCCTTAATAGTTTGGCTTCTTCAACATTATCATACACGGCCAGATGTGGTGCACATCTGCCAATACAGTTTTCAGGAGGCCGAGGCAGACATTGTGAGTTCAAGGCCAGCCTGGAATATATAATAAGCCCTTGTCACCAACATATAGACAAACAAATGGAAAAAAATGGTATAACACATGGATCTGAGAGAGTGTTCAGCTGAAACTGCTTCATATAAATGAACTGTATGGATGATAATTTGTGATTGACTTGCAAAGGTGTGTCCATCAAATCATCATCAAATACGTATGTGCCTTCAAGTGATTTTGCTGCTTGAGTTGGTTTTGACTGGGTCATGCTTCTTTCTCTTAGAAGTTCTGGAACCAGTCTAATTAGGTATATGTTAGTGCCAGATGGTAGTCTACTAGAGAGCAGGAAACGATGGGTATGGCGCTAGGCTGTATTCTGTACGTATTCTATGGGTCCATGCAAGGATCTAATTTGTATACTAGACTCCTTCATACCAATTTCTGACAAGTATTTTTCAATAACCAGTTGTGATGTGAAAAAACTAGATTCCTATGAAATAAGAGACACTGAAATATTTGATTTTTAACAAATAATTTTCTAGTCTTTTTCTCCCAGTGAACCCATCCAATCTGTCTAAGGCTACAGAACTGTAATTTATAGTCCATTAGCACTATAGTTTATCAATCATTTGAGCTGTAAGAGTCACAGTAAATCCAGCACGAAATTGTGTTACCTCTGACAGAAGGGGCCCGGATGAGGGCCCTGTTGCTGAAATGTCCTTTGGTAGCTGGGAAATGAAGACTTGGAATGGCTGCATAGGCTTGGGGGGTATAGAAGACAGGAGCTCCAAGGTAGGTTGTGGTGGGGTCGTAAACATGGCCCAGAGGGTAGGTGTATTCACCTTGCAGCATGGTGTTCCTGCCACCTGTGCCCCGGGTGTACCTAACGTAACTGTCCTTGTCCACTGGCTTGGCCAAGGTCACCTCAATCGGGGAACCATCCAGCGCCTGTGGTAGAGAGCAAGGAAAAGGCAAACTGAGCAGCCATTCTGACAACTCAGTACCATACAGCATGTCTGCCATTTGCTGTATTCTTACTGACTTGCATTTCTTCACGTTTCTGTCTCTTAATTAGGCTCATGCTTCTGTATGAGTTATTCTTGACATAGAGACTGTTACAGTGAAAACCACTCTTCCGTCAGTGAGTCAGAAAAGAATTTGACTATCCCATCCCCACCACAATGGACTGTCTCTTAAATGTTGAGACAAAATAAAAGCTCCTTTCCTTAAACAAACAAACAAACAAGCCAACAAACAAAACAACAATAACTTGAACAGTTTTTCATTGGAAGAACAGTCAGTACTCTTAACCTCTGAGCCATTTCTCCAGCCCCTCCTTAGGGGATTTAAGATGTTGCTGGGTCCCCGAGGCTGCACATGCCCCAGGATTCCCTGTGTCTGAAGGAATCTGTGCTAAGAAGCCTTGCCCTTGTCCTCCAGATCCAATCACCACCACGTCCAGCCCGCACTCTGCTCCACATAAGGTTCTCTTCAGAGCTCCTGGGCCTCTACATTGTCATTGGATTTGGCTAACAAGGAACTCTGGGTATGAGGATAGGGAACGGGCAACAGTGAATTTAGGTTGTGTTTTCCTGGTGCTCTCCATGAGAGGTCATCTTGGACCCACTGTATTCTTGACCAAAGACATTTCAGATAAAGCCTCAGGGAGGCATGACTCTAGATCAATGCTCCTCTCAAAGGGTCCTGCTCTCCACAGTTCTGTCTCAGTTCAGTAGTTTTACTAACTCTCTCGTTCCCTCTCTTGTGCCTTTACTTCCAGAATTCTGTCAGCTCTAGCATCTGACCTTGTGTTTTTGAATCCCCTTTTCTCACATTTCTGGGGTGATTCCTAGCCGCTCATCATCTGCCAGAACCTTGACTGAGAGAAGCCTCAAGGGGCACAGTAGTCTCTTAGGCATTTTGCTCTCACCAAATTTTCTCTTCTCAGGTTTTCTCTGGGTCTATTCAAGTTCTGCTATGAGGACAGATTCGTCTGGCTATAATTTGCCTATTCAAAGTATATCCAATTTTCACAGGTTCTTTCACACAGCATCTCCTCATTATGGTGGTTTTTCTGACTATCAACGACCCATTTCTTCATTTGAACTTTCTACTTTAAAATGTTTTCTAACAACATTGAACTGACTACTTTGCAGAGGTGTCTGTGGCCCTTTCTTAGTTCTCTAGACTCTCAGCTCTTTGATGAACAGTTTTTCTTCGATTAGTTTGTTTCCTGGACATGACTAGCAGATCAGTGGCCCATAGACAGGTCTCAGTGCTTATTGGATTGTTGTAAGTACTACTTAGGTTTCTGTAGATAAATGAACACAAGGAATGCAGAAGGTGATTTTTTCCCAGACCCCACTCTTTGCAAGGAGAAGGAGTCTAAGCCTCTCGTATTGGGAAGATCAAATATTGAGGAAAGAATGACAGTTATCTTGACATTTTTTGACCAGCCATCATAAATTACTGACAATAAAGAGCAATAATTAGAGATAATTGGAACGTTGTTTGAATGAGAATGCCCCCCAAAAGCTCACAGGCTTTCACGATAAGTCTCAGGTGATAACTATTTGGTAGAATTGGAAGGTGTGGCTTTGGTGTAGGAGGTGTGTTACTGGGAGTGGCTTTGAGGTTTTTAAAGTCCACATCAGGCCCAGTCTCTCTCTCTCTCTCTCTCTCTCTCTCTCTCTCTCTCTCTCTCTCTCTCTCTCTGCCTGGTGTTTGCAGATCAGGATGTAAAACTCCCAACTGTTTCACCAGGACCATGCTTGCCTGCCCCCTGCACATTCCCTGTTATGATGATAATGAACTCCCCTCTGAAACTATAAACAAGACTCCAATTGAATCTTTTCTTTTTGAAGAGTTGCATTGGTCATGGTGCATCCTCACAGCAATAGAATACTAACAAGGATGGGGGAAGCACCTAGAAAAACTTTAATTCCTTCTTCCCAAGAAAACTGAGAACTAGTGACTGGTCCAAGTCAGAAAAAAAAATTGAATTGAAATTCGCCATTTAGCCAACTCCTTTTCCTTTGTATCTTTTGCTCTCTTCTGTGCATCCCCAAAAGACTGCTGCCAGCAATGGAGAAAGCTGGGGAATGGTGGACTCCTTAGATGACTCTTTGGTATCGCATGGTCGTACCAAGCTTGGCTGACATCTGTAAGCATCTTATTTTCTTCTGCATTACCTTGCCATTTAAAGCTTTCATTGCTTCAACTGCATCTTCTCGGTTACTGAAATGCACAAAAGCGTAGTCTCGGATCTTCTTCACCCGTTCCACAGCTCCTGTAGATAAAATGCCAGCAGCACCATTAGCGAACTTGAGACAGTTATATGGTTAGCTTCCAAGTGTGTAAGCACCCTGTGAGACCCCTTTGCGTGTGAAGGTTTAAAATTCTGTATAATCAACATTAATATTTGCTTCTCATAAAAATACTTAAAATCTGATTTATTAGAAAGAGTTACACATTATATTCTCTAATTCCTAGGTTATAAGACATTGAAGGGCAAGAATGGCATCTTTTGCATATTATGAAATATAAAAGATAATAAATAATGCTCTATAAAGGTAAAGTGTTATTAAATTGACATGAACTCAGTTATTGGTCATCTTGTACACATATATTCAACTTATTTACTTCAAAATATTGCTTTATCTGGTGTCGGAGGCTCGCGGAAGTATACAGCATAGGGCAACTGATAATTCAGGCATCAACCCATATCTCTGATGAAGATAATCCTGTCTAGCAAGGCTTACAGGATGGCTGACTCTGAAAACCGGTTGCCTGTATCTATAATTTCTTTCATGTGCCACTTCATTTCTTCCCTAAGAATAGCTTTGGGTGTTTTCTCACTGCTTGTGTGGTTTTCTCGTGAAAATATTCCATCTGCTGGGCATATATATCTGTGGGTGGTCAGAAGAATGACTTTTCACTTAGCTGTATAGTTTTGATATATAGAATATACACTTAGCTGTATAGTTTTGATATATAGAATATATACTGAAGCATGCTTTATAACTGGATCTATTTGTCCTACAAGAATTGTGGACACTTAACAACCTGCCTTGTTCTTTTGCTCAGACTAACTGCACACAATTGGCTCAGTTCAAATTAGCAAATTCAAACCAGACTAAAGGCTTTTTGTAAATGGATCACAAGTTTGAAACCTTACAGCTACGTACATGGTCTGAGCTGAAGATGGCCAATCAAAGTTACTAGGAAAAGCATGCCAATTCTTCATTTGCCAATCTACTAACCATGGATCTGTGTCTCAAAGTTGTTATTAGGCACTGTGCCCCAGTCTGGTATGGTTTTGCTCCTACGGCATTGGATTCTTGTGTTGCCATGGTAAACAGCTCAGCTTCTTATCTCTTACTGTAGAAATGTGTTTCTTACCAATGAGAGAAGTTTCTTTATCACTTCAAGGCTCCTGAAGGAGAAGAGTTCTTTAGAATAGAGGAAGAAGCTAGGAGAAGCTAGGGGGAATTAGAAATAGGACAGGAGAATTAGAGTAGAAACAGAACAATAATGAAACTGATGTGGAAAAGCACATGGTGGAGAGATCATTTTGCCCTCAGATCTTGCTAAACCTCTTGATTGCCGTAGTATTCTCTCTGAACCCTGAGAAGTCTAAGAGGCTGGTACCCAAAAGACCTTGCTAATCTGGGAGGTTCAAAGCAAGGTATAGGTGTAAGAAAATGCAAGTGGACCTAGAACAAGGTGATGTGTTTCTGAACAGGGAACTACTGCATGTAGGCGTTACTGCATGGACGGAGAGGAGAGGCAGGTATATCCACTGGCTGCCGATGTCTTCTCCCAGACTCTGTTGTGGAAGAAACGTTGCTGTGTAATAATTCATGGACGTGAGAGAAAGGATGATTCCCCAGCCTATCCCCGCTGCTCAGTTTCACCCCAGGAGTATAAACCCCGCCTCCATGTCTGGGTTAGTGTGACCATATGAAAGGCCTGATTTCAAGTCCTGTGCTAGAGCATCCATCCAAGTCTGCTTGGAAGAGAGGGAAGCTCTGGGCATGCGGATGGGCAGTTTCATTGAGAACCTGATGTAGTATTTATCTGTGATGTATATCGTATAGTTCAGTACTATTATCTTTATTTCCACGATGACATAAAGAACAATGTTCAATGGCTTTTCTCAAGTTCTTTTGCTGGTAAGTGATCATGATCGAGTCTGATTCTGGACACTGTAGAAAACTGAGGTAAAGACTAACTCACTACTATTTGAAATCTTATAAACATGCTGCCCCCGAAAATACCCTATTTTATTTTCTATAAAAGAACTTTGGAATTGGTGGAGACTTTATCAATATGGTATGTTTAATTAATTTTACTTTACTTTCCTGTAAATATTAGGAGGCTATGATTTTGACAAAGGAGAATTTATAATTAATTCACAGAGCACACAGCTAAAGTCTAGAATTAATGTCCTATACCCTTAATTAACACCTTTAAGTTAAAAAAAAGTTGCTTCTGGAACATCTGACGTCTAAGGTAATTTCCGTCTATAGTGTGGAAAGGTTGGAAAAAGATATCAACTAATTCTAACTTGTTTCTTTATAAAGAAGGGTTTGTGTACATACATAAGGATTTACTATAAAGATGCCAGTTATACCACAGGAGAAACAGCAAAATAAAACAAGATCCGTTTTCTCAGAAAGGATTACATATGATACATTTATACAATCTCCACTTAGTTTTGAAAGAGACCAGAGCCGACGTCCGTGTACTCACGTGGAAGGATCCAAACCCTATTATCTGTTTCTAAAATTTATAACAGGATAAAACATAAAAATCTATTCTAAGTATCTCAGCCCACATAGAAATAAACACAAATTCAAGAACACCTACATCCCGAGATACCTGGGAAGGTGGAGCTAAGACTGCTAAGAATGGTTACTGCAGGGATGGAGAGGTGTTGGGAAGGCTGTACATATTTCAAGTATTCATTCATTGGATGCATATGTGTGCATGTGTTTGTATGTGCTCATGAGTACAGTACCTGTGGAGGCCAGAAGAGGGTGGTAGATCCCAGGGAGCTCAGTTGTGAGCCAGGCTCTATGCTGAGAACTGAACTGGGCTCCTCTGCAGGAGCAGTGCAAGCTTTACCCCCGAATCTTCTCTCCAGCCCCAAGAATGAGAACATTTTAATTGACACAGTTTTATAAATATGAGCCATTTCCATTTAGGTCATTGTGTAAAGGCTTCCAGACAGCAGCATAGCCTGTTTTTATGTGGAAGGACTGCTGAGCATATTGATAGTAATGTGTGGTAAAAAGGTAGTTATATCAAGATGGTTGACGCTATCTTTTAATGGTAATTGATCACTTGGTTTTCGAAGCAAGCCTTTTTCTTTAGTTGATGGGTAAGTGGAAACTTGTTTCACTACCGCTTGAGCATGCTGGTTATTTTTCAATTTACATTAGCCTGGGTTTTAAGTCTTCTAAGCCTCTAGATTTTCTTCATTACCCAGAGTTCTCAGAGTCAGTGTGATGTCACCCTATTCCCAGGATGAAGAGGAAGAGGAGAAAAATTCTCTCCCTCTCTAAGATCAGTTTTCTCAGACTCAAGGCTGCTGAAGCATTAGAGTCTGCACTCTACCCCATGGTTCAATGACTGTGCGTTACCTTCCTCTGGAACAATGGGTGGCATGTAATCTAAGGATAAATTTTCAAACTTTGCAGTTGTTTGCTTCTCTCTTCCCTAGTCAGTACTTGGCTTCTTATGATAATCATTATACAGAGCAAAATTATTGGGTGAGATGGAGAAAATTAAAGCCACGTGAACCCATGAAGCACAGGGTATATGATTAAACTGAACTTTCGGGTCAGTCTCTTCATTCCCTTTGTGTTTCGTGGAGCGATGACAAGGGTCCATTTCACAGCTTGTCTTGGTAAATGAGAAGTGAAAAGTTAACCAAGATGGCCTCTGTCCCTTCACCCCACTATGCTCCCTGCTATATAGTTTCCCAAGGGGGAAAAAGGTAGCTTTAGCTGCAAAGTATATCACCTTCACTTACCTCTTGCCTAGTGCCAAGGATACTAGAGCTAGTCTCTCAGTAAACACACACAGTGCCAAAGTATTTTGAGTCCATTTCCAAATGCTCCAAGAACTCATGTTAGTCATGTAGTATTTATATTGCTAACAAATTTGGGTGCTCGGAAATTTTTGCTAATATCCTAACAATTATGCCTGTTTGGGAGTGGTAATATTCAGACACCTCTCCTTATGGAGGGCTTCATTTGCAAACATCTGAACACAGAAAGTAAATTAGAAGGCAGGGGTTCGAATAACACGATGTGGGTTTCTCTCATCTAAGAACTAACCAGGCCTAACCATACTTAGAGACCATAGAAGAACCAGCACATTGAGGGTTGCACGGCCATAGACCAGCATCTGTGCAATAGCAATGGCCGCATGCCTCACTTTAACAAACTCATCCTTAGTGCTTGCCATCCTTTCTCATGGTAGTCTATCAGCAAAGACCTAGATCTGGGATCCCAACACAGGAATTAGAAAAACAGACTCAAGGTGTGGTCCCCAACCCAGTAGCATTAGCTTCTCTTGGGAACTAACTAAAGACAGACATGTGGACTTAGCCAGATGGGGTAAGCAGGCTGTGTTTTTAGCAGCCCTCCAGGTGAGTCTGTTATTGCTGAACAGCTTAAGGACTCAGATTTCGCAGATATTCAGAACTACAGAAGACACCCCAGGCTACACAGGGACAAAATATTGATGGCCCAGGGTTTTTGTGGCAATTTTCATTTGTTTTCCAGAGTATGAATGTAGCATTTTCCCAGGGCAGTCAGGGTTCGAATATATATATATATATATATATATAAACAGAGTTAGATTTCCAGGGGATATTCACGTTCTTCCAAAAGACCTAAACCTTAAAAATAAAAATTTAATATCATTTTTCTCTTTCCACAAATTTTCGACTATATCCTCAATATACTAGATCCTTGCGCTGGGGAAGAAATTCGTGACTTTCTTTTTCTTCTCTTCCTAAAGCAGATATCTGCTAACTGTTCCTATTCTTTCCAGAAGGTGAAGCAGGATAATATTAACATCATACACATTGTTCTAGAACCCTGAGGGTTGTGCCACTGACCCAAGAAGTGTCTTGGAATCGAGGGAATTCTTTAAGCTGACGACAAAAAAGGCTAATATAGTAATGCTGGGGGTGGTAGTGGTTAGAGACATGGGAGGAGATGGAGGAGGAGGAGAAAGAGAAGGAAGAAGTTGGCATTCATCACTTCCTTACAGCTTCCAGAGCACCAGTGTCTAGGCATAACTGTCATAAATGTACAGACTGGACCAATAACTGCTCACTATAAAAGAAGCAGTCTTTTGGTAGTTCCTCATTCTACCTCCTTTCAAAACAAAAGCCATATTTTAATTAGATGGGAAAATAGGTATTATTCACTCCGGGAAAACAAAACATAACCTAGGATGGGTGAAACACACACACACACACACACACACACACACACACACACACACGTTCCTAGACCTACACAACTCCATTGGCTTTCAGTACCCATCTAGATGGGACTTCTCTTAAACACGACTTTCCCCTGCATTCCAAGAGTGGGATGACTGAGCTATCACTTTCTGTAAATTCCTTCCCCGCACAGCTCGTATCTCTTATGTCCTCCGCAGTGCACGGCATGTTAGAGCTACCAACGCAGTCCGCAGCTGCGTGAATGAGTGAGTGCATGGAATGTGGGCTCTTAAAGCTGTTAAAGCTGGGGCCTGCCAGCTGCTAGCTGTGTGACTGTTTAACTACTCTGGGCTCTGGTGTTTGTGTGTAGAAAATAACAGACATTACGAAGGAACCTCCACGATAGGGTCGTTAAGAAGAATAAATGGCATGTGATGTGAACACGCCCACTCTAATTCTAGAGGAATTTTTTTTTTTGCAGTTTCTGTATTAGGCACGGATTCACAGCTGTTGGTATATAGCCACACCATGATCCTAAATGCCAGGGAAGGCAGGGTTCTTGAGGCTGAAGGAAGATAAATGTTTGAGAAATCATTGAAAGGGAAAAAAATGGTATCCCTGCCAATTATCTGCAGAGCAAATCATAAGTTATCATCCCATTACATACATGTAACATTGTGTCCACTTACAGTTAGAAACAGACACCCTGAGAATGTGAAGACTGTCAGAGACTTAACATAACAGCACCACAGCCCACGCTTGTCAGCACCCTATAGAACTTGCCAGAAGCCCAAGACATTCTCAGTTGTGGGAAGATGTTTCTATAATAAACACAGGCTGAGGTGGCTGAGAATGTTCCTGGACATCCTGATGGAACTGGCTAGAGATGTGTTGGGTTGTTACCCGGGGTAGGTTTCTAATGCTGGCACGTGATGGAGTGGACCTTGAAATCTACCAGACTGATTCTTATCACCAAGGAGGAGTTGCTCAGAAATGTCAATCACAAAGAGGTTGGGAAACCTTGTATTGGTGAGACCTCCAGTAAGAGGCAGGCGTCACTAACATAGTAAATATTTACTTAGTTCTTAGTCTGAGTGTCTGGGGACAGAGGAGCTAATTAGAGGACGAAGAACTCACAGAGTGTAGGTTAGCAGAGGTAATGTGTATTCATCAAATAACACACAGGTAAATATAAATCATAATATTCCTAAATTATGTAGGACCATATGTCTGTAGGACCATATGTCTCTTTCTGATCCAAAAATGGAGAAATAATTGAGCAATATGCAACCAACTAGGAGAAGGGGCTAAATACAAGTTGTTCTTTTTAACATCTGGCTAATGACCTCTGGCCCAAGTGCTTTAAAAGTACATTTTGAAAAAGTAGTTGTACGTGTGTCCTACCTGGCTTAATACTGTTGAATTCTTTCTCAATCGTCTCTTCTGAGGTAGACAGCATAAGGTTCCTTACATAGAGGATTTTCACTGAAGACATCGTGTCTTCATCAACTTCGACTTCTGGCTCTGCCCAGTCTACTGCAATAGGATGTCCCCACAGCTGAATTCTTCCTGTTGACAATGGGCAGAAGAACGATTAATTATTTAGAAATCACGACATCATCTCAGCTCACACTGATGGTCTTTTAAATTGAACTGACCGTCAAGGTCTTAAGTGGCGACGACCACTAAAAAAGATTCTTATTGATTTTAAGACATTCAAATAATGCGAGAGCTGGACAGAAGAGACTTCTGTGTGATGAGCGGCTTACCATAATGACTGAATGTAAAGAGACGTAGGATGTGGTTTGAAATGGAGAAGAAGTGAGGAAGCGGCGGGCACACTGGACTCTCTGGACAGCTTTTACAAGGTGGGGGTAGTTTTTAAGGGGAGATAATAAAAGGGGAGAAGAGCTAAGAGTGGATTCAGGGCTCAGACAGTGTCTGACCCCAAGGAGCGTTAAGAGGTCACTTGACAGAGACTTAGAGACATCTGGGAAGAGGGAAGAGGGTATCTCAATTAAGAAACTGTCTCTATCACATTAGCCTAGCCCCCTGTGGGTAGAGGTGCCACCCCTCGGCGTGTGGTCCTAGGTTATATAAAAAAGGCAACTGGACATGAGTTAGCAAGCAGGCTAGTAAGCAAAGTTCCTCTGAGATCTCCGTTTCCATTTCTGCCTCCAGGGTCCTGCCTTTGATGGACTGTGTGGAACCTCTAAGCCAAATGAACCCTCTCCTCCCTAGCTGGGTTTGGACACGATTTTATCACAGCAACAAAGACCCAATCTGGAAAACAATCTGTTAAACTGGGGGACCCAAACTCAGAAAGACACAAACTGTGTTTTCTCTCTCATACATATCCTAGCTTGGAATGTGTCTGTAAATGCGTATAAATGTGGATAAAGTTTGAAAACCTAAAAAAGAGAACAATTTTTTTTTATTAAGAGTTCTGATGAGACTGGGTAGGGCAGAAGGACACATGTGGCATACGAGAGGGCAAACATCTAGGGGAAGCTTATGTAGGGGACCAGAGGATGTAGAGAAAAAGATGAGGCAGAAGGGGAATTTAATAAGACACTCTGAAAATGTCACAATATCTCATGTCTTGCTTGCTGATTTACAGAGCACATACACAGGGTTGGGACATAGCCGAGTGGTAGAACGTTGGCCGAGAAAGCTCACTCTGTTGAATCAACAGCACTTTAAAAAAAAAGCACAATCAAGAAAAACTGTACAAGGACAAAATGAATCCAGAGTTTTGTTGTCCCCAAATCTGGTGGCTCTCATAGTTTTCCTAAGAGTGGACAATAATGCCACTCTAGATCAGTGGCTCGAACCTGGGGTCGTGACCAGGTTGGTTGTAAGACATCTGCATTACAATTCATAACAGTGGCAAAATTATAATGATGTAGTAGCAATGAAATAATTTTATAGTAAGGGGGTCACCACAACGCGAATAACTATGTTAAAGGATTGGAGCATCAGGAAGGTTGAGAACCCCTGCTCTGAATTGTTTCTTCCACTAATAAGAATTCATGTTAGCAGCTGACTGCGGATGTTTTAGTGAACATTTTACAGCAAACCGAGGCCCTTTGAATATTTGCCTGCGTTGGTCTGACCCAGGCAGTGTTGTTGGGTAATTAAACTAAAGAATTGTTGCTGGGTGCCCACATGTGTGGCTGGAGCACCTAGCAGGGTGTCTAAAAAGAATGTTTGCGTTTCTTCTCTCCAATTAGATGGCAATGATTTAGAAATTGGGAAACATATTGATAGCCTGTCTGTCAGTTACCTTTGGGATGGTGTGCACTACAGGTTGGTGTGTGTCTACACTGTGGTTGGTTGACCACAATCCAATTCTATCTAGCCTGTGAACTTAATCTATATACAGCTGTATCTGCGATGGATTTGTCTAATCTTAGGAAGATTCGTCATGGAGGACACCCTGTAGGATGGATCAAAGCTCTCCTGATGCACAGACGTGTAACTTTCCAAAGCACATCTGTGTAAACTTCAGGGAACTGAGTCAACTAGGAGAAAAAGGAGCAAGACGAAGAGTTTAGAGGCAGTCGAGCAAGGAAGCTCAAATATGGCCTGCCGAGGCTGTTGGTCTGAGCTGGACCAACTCTCACCTGGCAGCAGCCTTCTCCTAGCCATGGCGGCTGCGCGGTGACTCTCATATTCCACGAAGGCGAATCCCCGGTTTTTGGTTTTGTCTGCCGCGCTTGGGTAGACGATGACATCAACAACTCCGTCTGTGACCTTTTTCATCTCTGATAAGATTTCCTCCCTCCTTTTGGTTTTGGGGATTCCTCCCACAAATAATCGGCAATTGTCCACGCTAGCACAGACTCCGAGGAGACGCCCATTCCTAAGGGGGGGAAACAGTTTTTGTAGGTGACAATCCGCGTGAAACAGAAGGCGGTGACAGAGGTTGCAGATGTGTACCGCTTTTAAAGACAGTGTGCTTTCTTTAGAGGTCCGAGGATGTTTCACAGACAGACACATCTGCCCTTATTCCTCTGGTGGTACCAGGGCTTGAAACCAGGGCCTTGCAGTGCATCATAGATTTGACCACTGACCTCCAAACATTTAAGGAAGAAAAACAGAGAAACGTTGATTATCGCCTGGTTTCTTTATGCTGGATGTGGGTTCAACACGTGCACTCTATTCTCATCACTTCCCAGCATTCCAGGACCAAGGCTTCTACACTGGGCTCCGTTCCTCAATTCACCTACTTACGCTGTGCCACTGGGTTTTGCCATGCCTCCTGATTCATGTATAGTGTCCTCAGGCCGAGACAGTTCTGATATGATTGGCATTAACCCTCCCCCAATCAAAACAAAACTGAAAAAAGCCAGCAAGTTTGCTCAATAGGTAAAGGGACCTCCTGTTAAAAAGTCCATTGGAGCTGGGTGGTGGTGGGGCACAACTTTAATCCCAGCACTCTGGAGGCAGAGGCAGGTGGATCTCTGTGAGTTCAAGGCCAGCCTGGTCTACAAGAACTAGTTCCAGGACAGGCCCCAAAACTACAGAAAAACTCTGTCTCAAAAAACCCAAAAATCCAAGAACAAACAAACAAACAAGCACATTGGTCAGAGTTCTATCTCTGGACTCACATGTGAGGAGGCTAGAATGGATTCCCACAAGCTGCCCTTTGACCTCCCCACTCAGAGTGCACACACACACACACACACACAAAGTAAATGAAAATAAAATAGAAATAGTCGCGTGTCTGTAACAGATGATTTTCGTATGTCGACTCAGTTTTCCAACACAAAAGAGCCTGCAAGGTGAGCAAAACGGATGGGATTTCTGTTTTACAAAAAAATGAACTTGAGATTCCTAGAAATTAGGTGATAAGGTCTTATTAATTCTGGCCCTGGGGCCTCTCTTTATTCTACTTTGTGGCATTGCCTATTAGTAAGATGAAAGGTGTCTTCGCCGGCATGGCTATCTGGCAAGTTTTAAGGGCACATAACTGTTGCCTAAACAGACCTCCCCTGAAATAGACACTAACAAATTAAGGTGAGGCCCAAGCCAGAGGTACTAAGATGGCTGCCATCAATTAAGAAATCCAAACTGTAAATGAGCAGTCTCTCCCAACACAGGCCTGTTTTAAGACAGTGTCTCGTAGAGTACCACAGTATACTATCCCTGGCTCTTTTAAAACACTTTCCTAGTTTTATGTGTGGGAGTATTTTGCCCACATGTATGTGTGTGTATCACATGCATGTGCACAGAACAGGGATTTGGGTCTCCTGGGACTGGCATTTCAGAGAGTTGTCAATCACCATGTGGGTGCTGTGAACCAAATCAGACCCTTAGCAAGAACAGCAAGTGCTCCTAACTGCGGTGCCATCTCTTCAGGCCCTGATCCCTGGCTTTGGATCACTCGATGTCAATGAACAATTGTCAAGTCATCCAAAAATGTCTTCTTCCTTTCTAAGTGTCTTTTAAGGGTGGGCATTGTGGCCTCTGGCTGAGAAACTCTAGTAAAACAAAGACGGGCTTTCACGCTGATGGACGCTTGCAGTCCAACAATAGTAACACGGAAGCATGTTTGGCAATTAAAAAACTGCTCAGTTTTTTAAAAATAAGAATATAAGAATAAATACATGGTGCCATTCTGTTTTTGAAAGAACATAGAAAGTCTGGGAAGACAGTCAAATGTCAGCATAGTATCTTAGGCACCACGGTTGTGGGTGAATAGTTTTAATTTTTATACTATTTGCTTTCTGATGTTTTCTATGTGTTAAATATTAGGCTGTAAGCTTTATTAATAACTTGAATTACTGAAGACAGTGAGGTATCCTTAACAAATACTCCTTGTTTGTCATGAGGAAAAGGTTTTCTCTAAGCAAGTGGAAGATCAGTCTGCTTTGCTTGGAATTGGGGGCTCTTGATTGTCAGGGGTCACTGTCTGATTATTGCTTACCCTTTTCTGAAGAGCCAAGGGCAGGAGTCAGAATCGACAGACCCATCTCATTCCGGTGGCATTTCCCAGAGGATGCAGTTTCTTGGGTAAGGGGTTCATAAAGTGATCTTCCTGTTTTTTGGTTTTATTTGTTTTGTTTTCTCATTTCATTCTATTTTATTTAGACAGGAGCTCAGGCTACTAGCCCCAAACTCACTATATAACCATCTACGACCATGAATTCCCAATTCTGCCTCTCTTTTGGGATTGCAATTGTATACCACCATACTGGTTTACGTGGTTCCTGGATTAAAATTCAGGCTTTGTGCATGCTAGGTTCCAGCAAATGAGTTACATCCCTAGCCGTAGTCATGTGTATTTTAAATTTTACCGAATAAAGCATAAATACCTCGCTCACTTATTTGGAGATCATATTTTTGATGGTTACTAGGCTATTCTGGTATCAGTTGCTAGCAGGAAGAGTCTAGAATTTCTAAATTGTACGACTGGCCAACATCCTTTCCCAGAATTGCCTGGAGACAATATACAATTTCTCACAATTTAAAGACGTGACTTTATTGTCTCCAGAAGCCAGGCATTCAGAGGATGCTCAGTGAATATTTGATGAGGAGGAAGATGATGTGCTAGCCGTGGGTCTTTTCTGGGCAATAGCCTCATCCACCCCCTGAGAAATGATGGCTCACAACAAAGTATAGTCTCTTGTTCCTTTCTGGAAGAAAGGGTTTCTATCTGGCAGACTGACCAAGGCGGAGTGGAAGTTGTCAAGAAAACTCTGGGTCTCTTCTTGACTAGGTCATGTTGAATTTATCTCACCTCCTAATTTGTAAATGTTCTCTGTTCCTTTACCTTGCTTCTGGCTTCCAATTGCCTGTGATCTTGGCCACTTTCTCTTTCCAAGTTTTTTTTTATCACATTTATTTTTCACCCTTTCTTTTCTCCCTACTTACCACATCACAATTAACAGTTAGCTTACAGAGCACCTGGTCCTCTGAGGTACAGGAAGTACCTTATCTTAGTTTATTTTTATGACATCTGTGAGTTTTATAGAAAGGAGAGTGAGATTAAAGAGGAGATAGGTAATGAACCGTCATCCTGGTAGCGTGATGGATTTTAGTTTTCATACATTTCTATTTTCAATAGTATTGGCAGACTGCATGGATAATCATGAGTAGATACAGCAAGCTATCAGTCAATCCCATGGACATTTCAACTCAACAGGCACTCTTAGATAGCCTTTACTGATAGCGTGTTCATGTCACAGAAGACCGACGGATGGGACTCTGTCCATCGCCAAAACAATATAACTAGAATATGAGTTTGTTTGAGTGACCACCTTAATCTAGCTGGACTGTTTTTTTTAAATGGCATAGATTTATACTTGTTTTTATTTTTTTATTTAATTTTATGTGTATGTATGAGTACCTGCATGTATGTGTGTGTGCCATGTTTGTGCCTGGTGTCTATGAAACCATAAAATAAGGTCAGATTCCCTGGTATTGGAGTCACAGACAGCATGTGAATGCTGGGGACTCAACCCAGGTCCTCTGCAGGAGCGACAGGTGCTCTTTAACCACTGAGCTATCTCTCCAGCCCCTTGAATGTTTTTATTTGTGATTTCATTTTAACAACATGAATCTTATAACTCATATTAAAAAGCCAGGCTAAAGTATAGTTTTGCGTAGCCTTTTCCACATTTGCCAGTGTATTTTATTTTTGTATAATATTTAAAGCATTTCTGTGTGATGTGACCAAGTGTAAGGATAAAAGTGATGTTCTGAGAAGTCGAAGGAAAAAAAATGTCCGTATATTTTCTTGTTGTGAATAGAGTCTTTTACACACCGCACAGATTTCTTTTGGGTTCATAGAGGTATGTGTGGGAGGGAAGACCTATTTGTACTTCCTCTCAGATTGTTCTAGAACCCAACCTTAGGACTGACTAGCTAAGCAGTAAAGGTTGCTACACCCAGCTGTTTTTACTTAGCTGAAGTTGGAAGGTGGTGGCTCACGCCTTTAATCCCAGCACTTGGGAGGAAGAGGCAGGCAGATTCCTGTGAGTTTGATGCCAGCCTGAGCTACAGAGTGAGTTCCAGGACAGCCAAGGCTAGTTGTTAATTGCTGCACAGGATCATGAGGATGCTTGTAGTTTGATGTCCTTCCATATAAGTAGGGAAATATTAGAGAGAAAGGCACTCTTTCAGCATTTATCAGATTTAAGCTTCCATCAATTTTTAAGTCTCATCTGCACCACAGGAGAGGGGTAAATGTGGAAAACTGGATCTTGGGCTTGAGCTGTGATAGCTTTTATCATCTATGGGAGATGATGTTCTGAAATTTTCAGACCTCTTTGAATTATCTCTACAATTAAACCCAGGAAACGGATATAGTCTCCACTTTTTAGGTGAAAGTTGTGGCTGGAGAGATGAGTCAATGGTTGGCGTATGTACTCTTACAAAGGACCCAGTCTGGTTCTCAGAGTCCATGTAGGATGGCTCACAGCCACTTGTAAGTTCAGCTAGAGTAGATCAGATGCCTCTTCTAGACTTTGCAGATGTGCACGTGTGTATGCGTGTGCCTGTGCACCCAGGAGTGTGCACACATGTAATTAAAATAAAGTAAATCTTAAATAAATGAAATTGACTCACAAAGAAGCTAAACTGCTTGCTGGACCTTGAGTAAAGCTTGGTTGACCCAGAGGTTTGCTGTTCCACTGATCCTCCCAGGTGGCCTGGGCCTTCCTTAAGAAAGGATTTATGGCAGGTTCTGTCTCAAGCAAAGTTTAGCACTCAGACAGTTTTATAAAACATATTGGTTCTACAGCATCAGTAATGTTCTGGAGCCCTCCTGTGACCCCATGGTTTTAAATGACATAGAAATACTGTAAGTATGAACCATGTCCTGCCTCCTCTCTCACAGTCACCCTACATCTTGCCTGG